AACCCTAACACTTAAACCCTAAATCCTAAACCCGAAATCCTAAACCCGAAATCCTGAACCCTAAATCCTGAACCCTAAATCCCTAACTCCTAAACCCTAAAACCCTAAACCCATTTGAAAGCTATCCATGTCATACCTGCAGTGACTCAAGGAATGGCCCGAGCAGCCTTCAGGGGATGAAGCTGACGGATTTCATGCCCAGCATCGAGGTCCTATGCGACTTAGGGTTTAGGGTTTGGGTTTAGGGTTTAGGGTTTAGGGTAGGGGAATGTAGGACTAGGGTATTGGGGTTATATTGGCGTAGTATTGGGGGTATATTGGGATAATGGAAAAGAAAATGGAGACTGCTTTGTAGGGTTTAGGGTTATCGTCCCCCCTTAAGTAGATAGAATATGGCTTTGGGTATATGATAATAAGATCCCCATATACCCCATATTCTATCTATGTAAGGGGGACTATGAGGGTTAAGGGGGGGGTCCCTTCTCCCCATGGCTAAGATAAAAAAATCAGTGACTGTAGCTCAAAAAGTCCGAGAAAAAAAAACATTACAAACACACACCTCAAAACCCTAACTCTACCTTACAACCCCTAAATGCCCAGAACCCTAGACCTCGAACAAAGGCCCACAGGGCAAACGAACTCCTCAACGGTTTCTCAGCGGCGGACGACGCAGCGCACACCTTCCACACGAGCCTCGACCATACATCCCTGAGTGTGTCCACGGTTTTGAGGTTTCAGGTTTAGGGTTTTCTGGTAGTTGACATAAACAGGTGGACTCTAATATAGACCCCCAAATATTGCCATCCTTTGGATGGGGACCCCAAAAAGTTACCAATAATTTTGGGAAGTTCCCAAAAGGCTCACTTGTAGCACTACACCTGAATCATGGTTTAAACCTAATCTAAACTGTACACCGGTCGGTATGGTTCTGGGGATGTCTCTCGACGGAGGGGTTTTGGACTCTACAGGTCTGGAACCTGCAAAATTTCACAGTTGAGGATTATGTTCGGGTGTACGAGTTCAAGATGTAGGGTTGCCGGAAGGGAACTTTGACAATGTTCATGGACCTAAAGAACCCACCCCTAAACCCTATCCTAAAACTTTGAATAGTTGTTGAGGAAGTGATTTTGATAGGATTGGTGATAGCTGTAGGATGCCGAGGGATGTTGAGACAGCTCGAACAAGTTTGGCACCATTAAATCTCACTCTTCCCTTCCCAAACTCGGAAAGTTCTGAGAACTCCTACATATTCCTACAACGAGGGTTCTTTCTTGCCCAAACTACGTATGAACGCACCCTTTGCAGGGGAGATGTTCCATATCATTTTGCGGAGTGTAATCGTATCATATCATCGGATAGTTTGGAGAACTCCTACATATTCCTACAACGAGTTCCGTGCGCGAAGCTCTAAACCTTATATAACCCCTACACCCTGTGGGTCCTTGCCAGGAGACTTGTGGACAGCTGCTCCAGCAAGCTCTGCTGTGAGATCTTCCAGGTGAAGTACAGTCAGATGGATGGGTACAATGACTTTGTTTTACCTAGGGACCTAGGGCCTAGGGTTTAGGATTTGGGGTAAGTAGGGAAGAAGGGAAAAAGTCTATAGGAATTACATAGGGATTTCATTCCCATATTCCCTACTAAACACCAGCAAGTTTAGGGTTAACAGTTTGCAATTTAGCCTTAGGGCTTCGGGTTATGAAGGGATGGCTGATTCGCATACTTGTATTGCGCTTGCAGAAGCTTTGGGGGCATGCCTTGCTGTGACTGTCTTGGCAGCTGTTGGAAGAAGAGGAATGCAGTCATGGTGGTAGGCGGATGCTAGCACCGACAGTGGGTTTCATTTTGAGAAGAAACATTGTAACACAGAAGTACGAGGAAGACTCCTTGTTGTGTCCTGGAGGTGGAGTCTGTAGGAGTCTTGAGCGGCCTTCATCGTTTTCGTCCATTAGTTACCAGGTAGTAAGAGGATTAAAGACAATGCTTTGGCCTAGGCAGCGACATCACCTTGTGGGCATCAGGGACTTCACGGATGTGCCGGTGCTTTCCAAGGACGCCGCAGACCCTGAAAGCGATCGCACCGTGCAGGTACGGGTTCTAACATAGAGTGAAAAGTTCATAACGAAGATGCGCAAGAGGTGCATAGGGACTATCTATTTCTGCAGCGGATACTCAAGTTTGATATCGACAGCAGGCGTCAGACTTCTGGAAGTATCAGGAAAAAGTAAGCTTTTTCTTCAATTTGTGTTGGATACATTCAAACAGTTGGATGCTCCTCGTATGTGCCTGTGCAAACATGTAAGTCACTTCATATTTCTCCTTATAGACTGCAACTAGATGGGGATAGTTCCCACACATTGCAAACGCCGTAGACACCAAAACAAAGCAATTTGGACATGGCCTAAAGTAGACCCGCGATTGATAAACTCCCTCCTTTTAAGGACCTTAACATTAGGATCCCTATGATGATCCCTGTTAAGGGGAAGGGGTTTATCAATCTCGGGTTTGGGTTAGCGATTTTGTGCGACCATCACCCTGGTCAGAGCTGAGTTGATTCCATCGCGAATGTTTCACCTTAGGAATACTAGTAATAGTAAGAATGATATTCATATTAACCATTTCGGCAATCATAATCGTACGAATAATCTTAACAACAATAGCATCTGAGACAGCGGTTTTGACAGAATATTGGAATTGGAGGCATGTTCGCCTGTCGATGGGCTGGATTTTGACGATGACTCGGCATCCATGGTCTCAGGTGTGGAAGATGTGGTACCTGCATCAATCCCTAAACCCTTAACCCCTAAACCCTAAACCCCTAAACCCCTAAACCTGTAAACCCTAATGTGTTTCGTGCTGGAAGTTTTTGTATATGAGACATAATCTAAACTCCTTAAAGGGCATTCTGTAAGGGATTGTATGGGGGACCACAAAAGGGGGTTACTAAGGGGGATACTAGGAGTTTGGACTGTAGCTCATGTAGATACAGAAAAGATTTTCTATTCCTGGTGATCGCGACTAAGGTACGTCACAAGCAGGCTTTCCTTGAGATAGACATGGCTTCAATGAGGGTGATTGCAGCATCTGCGCCGGTCGACGAGTCTGTCGGTCTGGAGTTGAGTGAGTTGTTCCCCGCTGCCCACACGATTCACCTTCTGCAGCGCCTGCAGCATGAGGCGATTGCACTGGCGGGCAAGGGGGAGCCTCTGCGTGGCAACACTTTTAACTTCCAGGACATTTCCGGGTAGTTTTCTATACATACATACAGACAGCACACAAACATATTTGGATAAACACAAATATAGCCTCCATTTTCGGGCGCTTTTGGCCCCGCTTATAGTTGGCCATGTACTTTTCAGCGCAGACATACAGCTTCTTCGGCGTTATCCATGGCGAGATGTGAGTCATCATTTTTCAGCAGCCGCTGTTTAACGCTGTTTGACACCCTGTCCCCAGGACTTGCCCGTATGCTTCGGTGCGGGCAAAGCAGCCCAGATCACAGGCAATATGCAAATCCTGAAGACTAGCCAGGGTCCGAGCAATGTGCTGCTTTTGTTCGACGAGCCGCGCTTCCACTCAACGAAGAGACGCCGCAGTATCTGGGTTGCTGTGAAGGAACTTAATTTAAGTTACTATATTGGGGAAACCCTATTATTTACTACATATACCCATTATGGTAACTTAATTTAAGTTCCTCAACAGCAACCCAGGTATCAGCCCAACAAAGTCCAAGACCGGGACTCCAGCACGCCCGCGCTCGGGCAGCGCGGGCACGTTCGGAGATGAGCGTCCGCGCTCCTGGGTTGCTGTTGAGGAACTGGATTTGAAGGTCGTAGAATAAGGAAGCCCTATTATGTACTATATGCCCATATTATGGTATCTTAACCCAGGGGATGACTTCGTTGCCATCGACATAGAGCCAGATTGCGATGCCTCTGACTCCACCTTCAGCGACATCAAGGATAGGACAGACTTCTCCCGCTCTACATCCAACTCCACCGGCACAAACGGCACGAAGGATATCTCCGAATGCCCCGCCAGCGGAGTCAAGGTGACGAGCAATCTGGCCCTTTGAGAAGCCAGGGTAGCCATAATGAATCACAACCGCGAGTTGTGACCAAGGTCTCTTGGTTGATGCCCTGGTCGCACTATCGAATACACGACCTTTCCTCTTCCCATCTTTGGGCTCGTAACAGGCGAGTGGCTGGGGCTTCTCAAACAAATTCGCCCGAGCCCGACTAATAAACAAAATATTCTCCTTCTTGGGAGTTGCGAGTCTGTCGCCAAGTTGTTTCTCTTAAAGGGTGCCGTACCAACACAGAGTACTACTGTATGAGAAAAGTCGGTGTGGTATATAGGTGTTAGTAGGCCCCTTTGTTTATGTTTCAGAAAAAAGGCAACCCTGGACGTCTAGGCAACCCTGGACGTCTCTTCCTGGGCTTGCCATCCCCCACACAGACATGGAACCCTGGTGGACTGCCTTCACAAAGACCCCTGTCTTTGTAAAACATTTTACTCAAACCCTACCGTTTCAGAGGTTCCATGTATGTTTGAAAGTTTTGGGGAGGCTTTGGAACATCTGCCTCGGCTTATGCCGTGTTGATTGGCAGATCTCCCAGTTTCAAGCTTGGGCGGAAAACTTGGCCTCTTGTGAGCAGGAGAGACTTGAGGGATGGTTCTTGGGTGGCTTGGGGGTTGGGCTGCAACCCCGCAACCCCAAACCCTTAAACCACATTGGGCTCAGGGCGAGCCAATCGTGGTGGGGGCAGGAAGAAGGACATGCATATATTAGAATCGCTACCATCTATTTCTTCTTCTGCTACTCCTGGCCCAAAGATGCTAACAGGTGCTAAATACTGTTTGCAGGGCATGAAATGTTGGAAATGAAAGGGAAACTATCGCCTTAAATGCTTGCTGACGTTGTTTCTGTTAGTAGCCTTGTTAATAGGGAGTGAAGGGGTGTGGTCTTGGGCACTCGAGATTTATGTCTTTCAGAGTTGTTGGAAGAAGGAATGAACAGATTGTTGAATGTGTTTCGTTGCGTGTGTTGTTGCTTTTGTTCCTTCATTGTGAATTGGGAAGGAACTGATCCCTAGATAATATCCTCCATGCATCCGAAAATGACCTGAACAACATTTAGAACCCATGGCCCTGGACCCGAAAGGTCGCAGACCTTCAGCCTTTGGCACTTACAATTCCTTTACAGACTTTGGGCTTAGGCGGTTTAGGGCTTCGGGTCTCTGACGTAGCAGGTGTAGTATGTGAACATTGCTGTGAGATTTTCCCAGAAGCGCACTGCTACGGTCTCTTTTCTGAGGCGTCTGAAACAGGGACCGGTTTTTGTTGGGTGATGATTTTGGCGAGCCCTAAGTTCGAGAAATCCTCAATTGCAAGATTGTTGTTTGCATTTCTACAATGGAACTGCAGTCGCATGTTTGATGCCACCTGTATACAAACATCTGGGCTTCTTGCATGGGAAACGTGAACAGAAGTATGGAGAAATGTTTCAGATTCTGATCTTACTTTTTGTGGGTTCAGCTTGCTAGCGAAACTCCAAAGTCTGCGGGTTGAGCTCCTAAGGAACGAGAGGATAAGCTCTTGATGAACCCTTTGAGGAAAACTGTCATTGCGCTGCCGTGCAGCCTACTTTTAGGTTACGTAACCCTTTCACTGTCGTACCGGGCACCTGTGATTCCCATTGGGGAGCTGATTCTCTGTCATGTGATTCGATGGACCCTTCTAACCCCCTAAACCCTAAACCCTAAGCCCCAAATCCTCAACCCTAAACCCTTCTAACCCCTAAACCTTTCTAACCCGTAAACCCTAAACCTTTTCTAACCCCTAAACCCTTCTAACCCCTAAACCGTTCTAACCCCTAAATCCTTCTAACCCCTAAACCTTTCTAACCCCTAAACCCTAAACCCTTCTAACCCCCAAAATTAGGGGTACCTTTTGAATGGGATTATCGGGGTTATATAGGATTGCTATTGGGACTTATAGGGTTGAGGGTTTCGCAAAATGTGGGGTACCTTTTTGGGGGTTTGTGTGAGTTCTGATTGACTTTTTTCATCGCCCCATTAGTCCAAGGTTCGACCCATTAGTCCAAGGTTTGTCCTATTCGTCCAAGCGACGCCCCATCATCCTCAAAAAACTTGAAGCCTGCAACTCTTCATCCGGAAGCCCTCATTTCTGAAATTCCTTCCGGTGAGAATCCCCAATAAGTCGCAGTATTTTGGCAAGGGCACATCCTATTTTGTTTGACGTGTATTTTCGGGTCTCCCCATAGCTGCGTGCCTGCTGAAATATTGCTTTTTACCGGGGATACTGTCATGTAGTGCAGAGCACCGATGAATCGGCGCGCGTTTACGGTCCGGCCGACCGTTATTATTGCTAATTATCATTACTAGTATTCTTACTACTATTATTATTATTATCATGATTGTTGCCATTGTTATTATTGTTACTACTATTACTCCTATTATTATGGGTATTTCGGCAGGGGCAACACCTTGAACCCTAGGCTATGGATGCAGACCCGAGGGTTGACGAGCTGCTCTCCGCGTATCCGGCTGTACAAGCCTGGTTAGCGCGCCTGCGCGAGACACCAGGCGCAGGGGGTTAAGGGGTTAAGGGGTTTAGGGGTTAAGGGTTTAGGGATTGAGGGGTTAAGGTTTAGGGTATACAGGGATTAGAGGGTCTATGGTTTCAGGTTTAATCTCGGGTTGAGGGCGAAGAGTTTAGGGATTTGGGTCTTGAGCTGTGGGGGTTCAGGCTTGAGGGTTTTGCGTAGGGTTGAAGGAGAGACAAGTGGCAAAGGAATGTCGAGCATGAAGTGGAGACCGGGATTGTGGGAACAAGGCTCCTGTCACCAGTTTGTAGGAGTTATGAGGAGTTATAGGTAGCTGTACCATGGGCCGAGCAAAAGATACGTATATAGCAAAGTAATATGTATATGTATATGTATATGCATATGTATATGTTTGTGGTTGAGGTTTTGAAATTAGGGTTCATGGCTTAGGGTTTTGGGAGAACTCTCCAAGAATACAGTCCTGCTTCGCCCTTGATTGATACCATTGGTGGTTGCCACTAGAACAGAGAAGACACGTGGTGATCTTCAGAAGGCAAGAAGGTCGGTCTAATCTGGGGAAAGGGAGGGGCTGAGGCACACCCTTGTTACGCGACCGCACGTGAGGTCAGTTAGTTATAGTTGCCCGGAACAGTCAGAGGCCGGTGCAAGTATTTCTCAGGGTTGCATGCAGACGCTTTGCAGGTGTTTGGAGGGTGTTCTTTCTGGTTGCTGTAGCTCTTGGCACACTTCAGCTGTACAATCTGCGCGTGCCTGAGATTTGCTTGCCCAGAAATGTACGCCACAGATGCTGTTGTCGAACTTGCATCCGGAAAGGCGGCACCTAGAAATTTGAAATGATTTTCTTCGGAGATTGTGGAAGGTACTTAGTCGCAGTAGTCATACGGTGGGTGCAATCGCGAGTTGCGAATTATGGTGCTTTAGTATACTAAGGTCAGGCAGGAGGTTGAGCATGAACAGTAGTCCCCCCCTTCAAACACTACAGTGGATTCAATTTTCACTCCGTTTATAATTCCATGTAACTCGAGGATATCCACACGTAACCCCTACATCTTACTTAAGCCCAAAATATCCTTACAAAACCTCCATAACGCCGCTGTATGTCCCAGGCTTTTTACGTATCAACGCTAGCACCAAACCTTAAACCCTAAACGCTACCAACAGTAGCACGAAGCCCCAAACCCTAAAAAGCTACACCCTGAACCCTAAACCCTAAACCCTAAACCTACTATGAGCAACCTTCAGCCTCGCAGGCTTCCAAGAGTCGCATGCCGGGTATCAGAACTCGCTGCCAGCGATGCGGGAGTAACAAGGCATGGTAAGATTGTTCAGGGTTTAGGGTTTAGGGCTTAGGGTTTAGGGTTTAGGGTAGGAGTTATCCAAGATTTTAAGAGTTGAGGGTTGTAGCATGGCATCCCTCAATATAGCCCCAATGTTACGCCACTATACTATAGTCGTTTCCATGTTCTTTTCCGTTATCCCTATAGAACTCCAATATACACCCTATAATCCCTATATAAACCTTATATAGCCTCTATAATCAATCCCCGCAGTTTCCATTTTCTTTTCCATTATCCCTAGATAAGGACCCATTATCCCCTTACAACCCCTATATAGGCGCCAGCATCCACACCCCCCACCCCCCCCCCTTACTATGGCCTGGGGTCTGGATCTTGTCCTATGGTTAAAGTTAAGGTTTAGAGAAGGTCCCCCCCCCCTGTGGCCTGTGGTCTGGGTCTTGTCCTGTGGTTTAAATTCAGATTTAGAGTAGGTTTGTTGTATTTGTACAGGGTTCGTAACCCCCCTACCCCCCTGTGGTGCTGTGGCCTGTGGTCTGGGTCGGGTCTTGTGGTCTAAATTAAGGTTTAGGGTAGGCATAGTGTTTGTAGAGGGTTCATAAACTCTTCCCCCCCTTGTGGTCCTGTGGCCTCTGGTCTGGGTCTCGTGGTTTACCTTAGGTTTATGAAGGGTTTGTAGAGGGTTTAGAACAGTATCTAGAGGGTGTTGAACAGTTCATGGATGATGTCAAGAAGGTTTACAAAGGGTTGTAGAAGGCCCACGCAAGATGACGACCAAGCTGATGCGTGACTGTGAGTACTTTTAAACTGAGACAACCATATGAGGTGCCAAAAGCGATGACAGTTGCGAGGATAGCCGTGACGGTTGACACTTTTGAGACGTGACGATGACACATAGGTCCAAAAGTGACGACAGTTACGAGGAAGGCAGCATTCAGGCGTCAAAAACGATGACAGTTACGAGGATGGCGACCCCGAAAGGCCCCATCCTTGTG